ATGTTGTAATATAATTATTATTTCACATACGTACTCTCTATATCCCTCCACAGGGTCACAGAATAAAGTCAAGCTTAAGTGGAAAGAATTACTGGATTCCCTTGGGCTCCTGGTTGGCCTCCTCATTCCTCACTCCAGGCTAAACTTCCTCAAAGTGTTTCCTTTGGAAAACTCAGCTTCCCCCTTTATTCTGGTGTCCTTGTCTGACCCACCCTCCCTGGAAAGCCTTCATTGTTTTTTACTGGCAACGAATGTCTTGGGGTAAATGGAGTACCTATCATATCCTTGAGCCCCACTTTTATCAAATCTCCTCACTGTCTACTTGTAATTGCCCTAAAATTTGCACCTTTTGGACTTACAGTTGTGTGGGATCTGTTCTGAAGGAAAAGAAAGTTCATACTTTTTGATTTATTTGAAGACTTATTTTATTACTTATGTGCATGTGTCTGTGGGTCTGTGATGTATATATGGGTGCCTGTGGAGGCAAGAAGAGACTGCCACATCCCCAGAGGCTGGAGCTACAGGTGGTTGTGAGTTGCCTGGAAACTGAACCTGGGTCCTCCACAAAAGCAGCCAGTGCTCTTAACTGCTGAGCCATCTTTCCAGCCTCACTAATTTCTTTAAATTCTACTACTGTATAAACATATAGGCTATCCCTATGATTAATAACAAAATACTAACACTAATTGATACAATTTCTTTGTCTTTTTGTGGTGACAGGGAAGCAATAAGAAGTTGTCTTCTACAACTTATATTCCATTTTATCCTCAATTTCAGCATGGAACTCTCAGTATCTTACTGATTTAGCTGAGGTTTATCCAGCAGGTGGCACATGATAAAGTCTCCTTTTTTTCTTAATCACAACAAAATAAACATGAAGACTAGCCTAAGAAAATCAGATAGTTCCAGAACCTAGAAATCAGGCTTTCAAGCATAACTTAACAGCGGAACAATCTTATTAGTCAATATCATAATTAATGAGCCATTTAGCAGCTAGTGCCCAGGGCTCTGCAGAGAACCTATGGATACATTCAGAAAAAATAACTTGCCTGTTTCAAACTTAAGGTTTATTGCCACGAAGTCATAGGAGAGCCTTGACTCCAGACAGTGACAAATCCCTCTTAGATTCAGGGAAGTGCAGGTACATAAGCACAGGACATGGCAGGCCACCCAAGGAGCATCATAGCAGCCCCATCTCCGGAGTGACAACAGTTGTATGGTTGTTAGTGGTGGCAGGAGAGGAGTCAGGAGCCTGCTGGGGAACTAACTAGACTGCATGCATCAGCCAGGCCAGAGGTGGGGAAGCATCCTGAGATTAATGTCTCACAGCTGTGATGTAGACCTGGATACAAGCATAGCTGATCGGTTTTCAGCAGGAAGCAGATGAGAAATTACAGCATCCAAAGATGCTACACCAAATCAATGATAAATTTACACCCATGAGACATCAGCAGTGGGAAAAAACATTAAAGATAGCAACTCTTAGCACTGATTTTTCTCTGTGTCCTAATTTGCACAATTTCTGTAATTCTTGGTCAGGCAAGTCTCTTTGTTTCCTTATCTTAGCTTTGAATATTTTCTTCTTTTCATTCTATGGCAGTTTCAAAAATATCTTTCAATCCTGAAGCTTAAATTGCTCTCAGATATTTCTAAAAAGGTGTTTTCTTTTATTTTTTAATAGTTATTTTTAGATAGGGTCTCTCTATAGCCCCAGCTGACCTGAAACTCACTATGTAGCCCAAGCTGGCCTTTATCTCATGCAGATACCTTTGTCTCTGTTTCCTGGGATTAAAGGTAGGCACCACCACACCTGGTTTTTCTTTTTATTCTTTCTTTTTTTTTTAAAATATATTTTTACTTTTATTTATGTGTGTGTGTGTGTGTGTGTGTGTGTGTGTGTGTGCCCAGAGGACCCATTTTTTGAGACAGGATCTCTCCCTGAACCTGAGATTCACACCATCTTTGCTAGGCTGGAAGCCAGCAAGCCTCAAAGATCCTTCTATCTCCCCCCCCTCCTCCTT